CAGATAGGAGACCCAGATTTGATCCCTGGCACTGCATGATCCCCCAGGGACATCAGCAGAGCAGCCAGGAGTAGCTCCTGAGTATGTAAGGGTATAAGTCCTTTCCCCCCTCCCTCCTGCCCAAAAGGCATTCTTATCTTGCCCAGCCATCAATAAAAGACTGAAACTAGGAAACTTTAATATAAGAGAAAGTCTGTGCTAATAACTATATGTTAATAATTAGGTTAATAAAGGATTGTGATTAAAATACACATAAAGACACATAAACATTACTTTTCCAGTCCTTGAAATGTAGTTTATTAGTTGTATGAAAGATCAAATTGATCTTTCAAAAGATATGAGTGACTTTAAGCCCCTTGATGTATATGGCTTTGGAACAAATTTTATTTAGATAAATTTTCTTAATATGAATTTCCTGGTATTTGAGTTCTCTAGAAAATTAAGATTCTAATAAAGAGGGATTCATTTAGAAATGTTTGTCAAAGTTATTTTAACCATTGCTTAAATTATTGTAAATGGATTCCTTACTATTTAAATGATGACTATTAGCTGTTTTTAACCCTGTTTCCTATTTCCCTGCGTAAACCAAGATACCTGAAGATTTTAGGTTACACAATAGCAAAATCTGTCACAATGAACATAAATTTCACCAGGTGCTATAGCGATTGCACAGCGGGTTGGGCATTTGCCTTGCACGCAGCGGACCCGGTTTCAATTCCTTCATCCCCCTCTGAGAGCCCAGCAAGCTACTGAGAGTATCTCGCCCACACGGCAAAGCCCGGCAAGCTACCCATGACGTATTCAATATACCAAACACAGTAACAACAAGTCTCACATTGGAGACGTTACTGGTGTCGGCTCAAGCAAATAAATGAACAATGGGAGGACAATGCTACAGACAGTGCTTTTAAAAAGTATACCTACCCAACCCTAAGCCTTTTGCTTTGCCTCATTTGCTGCTTTCTGTGAAAATCACAACCAAGAGCCAAGATACTTTCCCACAGCTGTCTCTCCCTTCCTGCTTCCCTCCCTCCCTCCCTCCCTCCCTCCCTCCCTCCCTCCCTCCCTCCTTTCCCCTCTCTTTCTCCTCTCTCTCTCTCTCTCTCTCTCTCTCTCTCTCTCCTCTCTCTCTCCCCTTCCCTCTCCTCTCTCCATGTCCCACCCTAGTGTTTTCCCTGACTGACATGATTTGGCAAGCTGAGGTCTCCCTAGAGAACTGTGAGTATACTAAAACTTTTTCTGGTTTCTTTCTTGACCAGTTTCCATCTTCACAATTTCTCATAACATGGTTAAAACAAAACTGTAGATTATGTCAAAGGGAATGAATGCATTGCTTAAAGTAACTTCAGAGATGTTAATATGAAGATGTGCCTTTTAAGAATCAAACGTTCTTGGTTCTGGAATCATGTTGTGTGGAATATTTTATGGGATTAGCCTTTCTAGGATTCCCTTTGGGAGGAATTATTCTGGAGAGATACTGATTATCTATCTAGAAGATATATATCAGTGTTGTCCTTTGAAGATAAAGATGCTCTGGCATTTTTGCAAAATGAAATAAAACATTAGGGCATGCTCAACTCCACATGTGTAGATTTTTTTTTCTTCATCACAGGTTGGCAGAAAGATACTGAAGGAAGGCAATGTCTAAGTGAATTTTGAGGAAAGTCCGTAAGTTAAAAAATCCATATGCATTTTAAGGATTTTTTGTGTGTGCATAAGCAAGAGCTTACTAGTTACTAGTTATTCTTTTTTCTTTCTTCTTTTTTTTTTTCATTTTTGGGGTCATATCTGGCAATGCTCAGGGATTATTCCTGGCTCTGCACTCAGTAATTATTCCTGGTGGTGCTCTAGGAACACATGCGATGCTGGGAATAGAACCTAGGTAGACCACATGCAAGGCAAATGCCCTTCATGCTGTACTATTACTCTGGTCCTTGCCCCTTTTTCTATACTCATCAAACACTTCAAACTCAATCTCTTCAAACTGAGTCAGTTGAATATCCATGCTACTTTCCTTACAAAACGTTTCCATATAGTCAGATCAGAAACTTAAGAATCTATCCATTAGCCTCTACTATGTCTCTTATATACTACTTAATCTTAATTCACTGGTTTCTACATTAATCATATCTATCCTTTTCATCTCAATACTTGTCTTAATTCAGGCCGTTAGCACCCCGTATCTTAATCATTTCCATGGTATCCTAACTTGTTTCTCTTTCCCTAATACTTTCCCCTTCTCATATAGACTTTCCTTCATACTGACACCAATATAATTTTTCAAAAATACATTTTTGATGATGCTATTCTGCCTTAATGAACTATACAACAATTCATTTACCATCTTGCCATATAAAATAAGGTCTTAACTACTTACTCTGTCATGATCATTTTCTTAACTCCTTTTTCTGTCATAAGCATTTTCCTATTGTTTTATTCATGCTCTATTTTCCAATCTTCTGTTAGTGCCTACCTCTAGCAAAGAACAGATTTAATCAGATCAATCTGGTTGCTCTATCCCATCATGGAAGGGTTTGATATGCTTTGTTGTTTATTAACCTTTTGCCTAGGATCACCTACTTCCATATCAGCAACACAACAAATATTAATTCATCTCTTTTCAAAAGTAAGATGCCATTATCTAATAAATTTTTAAATTCAAGCTCAAGTGCCTATTTTTATGAAATCTTTCCCATTTCATTTTCTATCTCCTTTCACAATACATTCCATATTATACAAATAATACAATTATATAAATTATTAAAAAGTTTATTATACATATATGTTCCCTTGTTTGCTCTTCTTGTATGTGTAAGTATACTTATATGCATATGTATCTGTAATATACTTAAGCTTAACTTATATGTGTAAGTATATGTATTTCACTTATGCTTAACTTATATGAGTATGATAATAAACTCTTTTTATTATGCTTACATATTCCCTTGTTTGCTTTTCTCTTTGGCAAGTTCCTAGAGGCAACAAAAGTAGAAAGAGTGTGGGGAAAGTTGTCTGCCATAGAGGCAGGGTAGAATTGAAGAGGGGGGGATATACTGAGGACATTGGTGGTGGAGAATCTACACTGGTGGGGTGTTTGATAATTGGGTGACTGAAACTCAAACATGAAAGCTTTGCAATTGTATATCACAGTGAAACTTCCTAGGGGCAAAAGATTGAGTCTTTTCATATGAAAATCTTTATAACATGACATAGCACTCAATATATTAAGACTTTTTTTTAACTTTCAATAATTTGTAGCTTTATTAATGATTGTTGCTCTTATTTTTAAACATAGGAGTGAAAATGAAAATGTCCTAGCAATGTTATCTCTAGGGCTCAGAGGCCAGAGGCATGTGAATCTGAGTCTAATATGATCCTTTTGTCAATTAGCCTGCATTTATATTAATTTTGACATCCTGCCATCATCCTATATTCTTTTTATTTTTTATTTTTTTAAATTTTATTGAATCACCATGAGATAGACACAAGCTTTCATGTTTGGGTTACAATCACACAATGACGAAGCACCCATCCCTCCACCAGTGCATGTTCCTCACCATCAATCTCCCCAGTATACCCACCCATCCCCACCCTCCCCATGCCTCCATGGCAGACAATATTACCCATACTCTCTTTCTACTTTGGGCATAATGATTTGCAATACAGACCCTGAGAGGTTATCATGTTTGGTCCTTTATCTACTTTCTGCACACATCTCCCATTTCGACCTGTTCCTCCAGCCATCTTTTTCTTAGTGATCCCTTCTCTATTTCAGCTGCCTTCTGCCCTCCTCTCATGAGGCAGGCTTCCAGCTAAGAAGCATTCCTCCTGGCCCTTGTATATACTCTCCTTGGGTGTCAGTCTCATGTTATGTTCTTTTGTACTCCACAAGTGAGTACAGTCTGAAGACTGATTTTCAAATGCTTATTTAGTGAAAGTTTCCACATTGCCTTTTATACATAGAACAATATACTGAATGTACTTCAGATCTCCAAGTTTGTCATGAATAAGTATTACTGGAAAAAAAAATCAGCTACTCAATCACTAGATGCTATTTGATTGAAAAGTGAAGAAGAAACACATTTTTTTGAATTTTTCCATCAAATTATCCTGTAACATAGCAGTGGATTCTGGTCTTTCCCCTGATTTGTCTCAAAATTCTAATTATAATGAAAAATTTTGGAACTAAATGATAAATATTCTCAACTGATTCTCCCCCCCCCCACACACACACCCTTAATTTTGGAGCAAATAGATAAATAGATACTTCCTGGGCAAGTATCCATAATAGCAGTTAGAGAGAACAGAGATATCTTTTATAATCCTTTTATTTCAGATCCTTAGGAGACAAGGGAGGAGTGAAACCTTCTACCTGTTAGTTTTAGAAAAACAGAGGCATGTGGGGCCACATATTGGCATAAAAGTGGTGTCACTATCTAAAATACCACACAAGCATTGGGACTCAATGCTGAAATTCTGACCCAGAGCTCTAGCTATATTGAGCTATAGGAACACAAAGATAATATGGACATTTGGTTTCCTAAGAACAAATTACTTGAATTAATCTAAAATTACTCCTTGTGGAAGTTTTAGGAACTGTTGTAAATACTGGGATTTCCAGTGTCTGGTGAAACTTATTAGTTAACAATATCTAACAAATGACTTGTAGAAAAAATAATCAGATGACTTTTATTTAAAATCACTTTCATCTCCAAATTTCTTTCTCTATTTCCTACCAGAATTATTATTAAGAGGAATAGATGTTGAAAATACTATATATATATAAAAAAAGGAACACGTTTTTTAAATGGATGCTTCTTTCTGTCTTTGATATGCTGGGTACTTTTTAAAAACACTTTAGCCCAATGGGTGAAAAAGGCTTATTTCCTGTTCTAATGATGTACTGGGGAATACTGTCTAAGAAGTAAGAAGACTATGTAGGAGGCAGTAAAGAAGGCACTTTGAACTTGAAAGAAACAGAGCAGAGCTTTAATACTTACAGCTGTCCTCTTCTTCAGTTATACATTTCACAACATAACAGGCGTAGATGAACCCTGCCAGCTGAAACAAAACAAAGATACTTTAGACATGAGGCAAAGGCAAAAGTCTTAGACCTCATGGGGACTGACTATTCAAAGGCCAGCAACTTATAGCTAGAGTCAGAGCTCCAAAAAAAGGTTCATCAACTTGCAAAATCTTGACTCCAGTGTTTATTTCTTATTTTAAGTGATGTCTAGTTGCCTTATAACGAAATGTGCTATTTTTTTCTTTCTCTAGTCCGTGTTTGCAAGTAAGGCAATCTTAAATTATTTTAGGTATAAAAATCGTAACTATTTATTAAATGGATTAACATTTGCATTTATACCAACGAATTTCCAGTTTAATTTTCATTAGCCCAGAATGCAAGATTTTGAAATTCAACTCACTGAAAGAATGACAATTTGAGAGAAAGATTTCATGTTATCTTGTCTGAACTTATTTTAAGAAAGACTCATGGATTCAGCAGACATAATTAGCATGATATGTTATGGAGGAGCAACAGAGTAAATTAGAAGGACTGGAAAAACATACATCATGTATCATTCTTTCTACTTGTTAGGACTAGACATAAGAATAACTCCTTAAGAAAGAAAATATATGCTGGGTATTTTGGTGAAAAATACTTTTACCTAAATGTATACCAAAAAAGGTTTATTCTTTGGCCTATTATCTAACATGTTATAAAAAGCTTTCCTGATCCAGGGAAGTTTTCTAACACTATATAACTATGAAGGAAAATAGCACTTATATCTTTTTTACTCAGACTGAGTGGCTTGTGTATTCCTTCATAACAGTATCAAACATGTTTAGTTGAATTATGAGTGTCATTGGAAGGAGGAAAACTAACATACTTTTGTTGTTTAATAGCAAAAAAAAAACCCTCTTTGCTAAATCATTAGGATTGGGGGAAATCCTTAAAGTAAGTCTCGAATAATGCTGGTGGTTTTTCACATCCACATTCATTCAAACAGGCACTGATCCAGGTGATCCAACATGATATGGGGGAGGGAACATATATAGCTCTATAGCTAAACTGTTCAATCAGGAAGCTAAGGTACATGATATAAAGGAGCTGCTGTGATAAGCCTAATTAAGTCATTTTTGTTAGCTGAGAATAAACATATCTCTAAGATAAGAAAATCAAATCTTCACTTTCATCTCTATTTTATTATTTGCTGTTAATGGTTTTGGGGCTAAACCCAGAAGTGCTCAGGGATCACTTCTGTCAGTGTTTGGGGACAATAAGAATTGCTGGGAATCATACCTGGGTTGTCTATATGCATGGCAAGAGTCTTACTCCCTGTACTATCTTTCTGGCCTTTTATTGTATATTTATGGGGCCAGAGGTGTTAGGGCTGAGTTGTATGCTTTGCATGTGGGCAACCCAGGGTTAATCACTGTCACTACATGTGGTATGCTGAGTACTTCCAGAAGTGGCTACTGAGCACAGAGCTGGGAGTAACCCAAGAACTGCCAGATATGGTTCCAAAATAAACTTGTGTTTTCCCTTTTTATATAATAGAATCATCATGTCTTATTTTTTTCTAATGGACCCATTTGGGTTTAATGAAGAGTTTGTTTGGACAAACAAAAATCACACAAGGATTCTAGCATTTTCATGGTACTAATATTTTTAAATTTTTTTAATCTTCAAGACTTATGGAGATTTTCTAATCACTGTGATACAGACTGATGGATACTCTGTTAGTATTTTGATCAGACTGTGGCTAAATAAAGACACTATGGATTTGGATAAATCTGGGTATGGTCTGTAGTGCCTCTTGTTCCTCTACATGAAGTTTTTACTCTCTATGACTAAATGTTACATATCTTTCGGCACTGTATCTCTTCAGTTTTACATACTTGTTACTTGTGTTATCTATAAAGTGACATTTTTCTAGTACAAAATTTTAATTCTTTCATCACTTCTTTACTTTGAAACAAAATTTCTGTACAGAACACTGATAAATTCTGGGATTCAGGACCAATAAATTTAAACAGCTAATTATAGTGTCACTAGATTCTAGATTATTAACTGTACCACTTTCCCAGAATGCAGCCAAGGAATTGCGTTCTGCTTACTGGTGATCTTTTAATTATATTTCCTTGCATCTTTAAACACCAGGGGAGCCTCTTTGATAAAATGAAAATACTGCTGCATTTCATTACAAAAGCATGATGATTAAAAGAACTTTAATTTTTAAATCAGTAACATCTTAAAAAATAAAATTTTCTTCCCCAAAACTGTTAAAGATTCACAAATCTGTCTTCTTCATATTTATCTATAATATCTATATTTCTATTTTAATTTCTATATACTCTTAGCAACTTAAAAATTTAACGACAGAGAAATGGTTTAAAATTATTTCAAACAAAGATAGAGCCTTCTATAAAGTGTGACTCTCCTATTTGCTACATTAGCTACAAAGATGAATTTGCTATGTTGGGGTTTTTCAAGCATGGTGCCATTGACATTTTGGGTTGAGAAATTGTTTGTGAGACCTATTATGCATTTATAGCTGTTTAACTAGTGTTATCTACAATCAGGAAAGTTGACAATTGAGACAATCAAAACATTTGTCTAGACATTGCCTTAAGGCAAATTAGCCATTGGTTAGAGGTATTGTTTCAGATACATTTCTATGCTCAAGAAATTTGTAAGTTTATAGCAGGGATACAAATATAATTGTAATTCGAAGTAAATTAAGATAAGTGTCAAGAGGAAGGAAGAAAATTGAATGTCTACTTAGAGACAAACAGTAAACTGGGCGCTTTCAAGCATTTGGTCATTAATCCTCATAACTACCATTGGAAGAATCTAATTTGTACTTTTGCAGAGAAGAGGTAAAAAGGGCTTTGCAGCTTTTAGAAGTGAGTTCATTGAGTGGGAGAAGTATGAATTGTATTCAAGGATGAGCTAATGGTTCTATATGATAAGGGTTCATTTGCAACTTTACACCAGAGCAATGAAAATGAAAGCAGTGAACACAGATCAGAGCCTTAATTGAAGAGCTTTTTGGACACACCAAATTGCAAATCTAGGTCATTTTCTACACAATTCATGTCAGGACCATCCCATCTTCTATTGAAAAAGTATAAAATTTTTCATGCAATACAAATCCATTCTAATGTGATACTTAAACTTGCTTTCTAGCCTCATTTACCATCTTTCCTTACCTCGGATTGTTGCCAGTTTTAAGCTGTTGGTCATTTGCAGATGTATAAAAAAAGTGCCTTCTTTTTATTTTATTAGCTATGTCTGCCAATAAAGTTTGGGAATGTCTTACATCTTTTTTTTTTGCCTCTTACCTCCCTCCTCACACCTTTATTCCTTTGAGTAATTCCAAATCACTCTTTAATAATTAATTACCTTTCCAAGAACTGGCTGGTACTTTGGAGACAGACTTTAATAGATGGGAGGCTTGGAGAGTGGATAAAGAGGGGAAAGGTGAAGAGAAGTTCAAAGCATAACTCAGAAAAGTTCTGGAAGATGTAGATTGTTTTCAGGAAAGAGTAAAGATCCTGGTTCAGAGGAATTTGTGATGTGAAAATAAAGAAGATGGTGTCCAAAGCAGAGAATGGTGACCCATGTGGTCATAATTGAATCTGAGAGACTTAAATTTAAATAATATCATTTCATTTCTTCTTTATTTAAGGAATACTAGAATAATGATAAAATTATCAGTGGTATTGTACTAGGGATACATGCAATTATCCAAGTGTAAAAAGGCAAAGTATTAAGTTTCTGGCAATCAGAGCAGGGCAAAGCCCAGGTAGCTTTATTTATACTTATGTACATTTATTTGAAATATCTAAAATGATTTATTTTTTAATTCACTTTACAAGAAACTGCATTTCATTTTGATAGCATGCTAGTTAAAAGAAGTGACTTTTTCTCTCTAAATTAAATTAAAATTATTTTTGCATATCCAAACTAAATTATTGTACATCTTAGAAATTCATGTAGGAGAAAATGAATAAAAAAATACTAAAAGCTTTGGTAGTATTTTAAAAACTATAATTTCAACGTTATAATTGAAAATGTTATAAAATTGAAATTATAACAAGCCCAGTGTTCTGAATATAGAGGTTTTTTGGAGTTGTAAGTATGTAGTATGTTTATTTTAACCTAACTCTCCCACTAAGCACAACTGAAAATATATGGACATTTAAAATATGACAAACATAAGGCTTAATGCTGGACATAAGATAGACCAGCTAGTTAGGAACCTTGGGGGTGACTTTCTAATTTTCAGTCTAATTTCTGTTCTTATATACAAGAAGAAGCCTTCAACCTAGAAATATCAATGCAGCAATTAAAAGTCCAGAATAAAAATCTTTTCTGTCTAGTCAAAGAACCAGTAAAGAGATAACTATTTGGTCTTATTAGACTATTTTCTCTAGCCAATACTAAAGAAAAGAATATTATTCTCCCAAAACACAGCAGCAAACAGAAGGGAGCCAAGTCCACCTTAGGCATTTGCCAGGCTGTGGTATCTGAGCAATCAGGGAGAGAGATTGGACTTTCATTCCTGCCGGGAAGTTGAATTGAAGGAAGATAGGTTGTAGAAATGACCAAGTATGGAAAAAGAAAAAAGTAGATTGACAAAAAATTAGCTTAGCTTTAGGGGTTTAAGACTCAATAATAAAGCAAACCAACTTTTGTGCAATTAAAGTCCAAAAAGGAAATGAGGGAAGTACAGAGACAGTACTTTGAAACAGTTACTGAAAATATTCGAAATTGATAAAAGATCTAGCATTTCATATTCAAGTTACAATTTGAAAAAAAGTATCTTTCTCATAGTTTAATATTGAACATTAATTGCTTTTGTTTTCTTTTAGACACCATGATTTATGGTAGTTAACAAACAATTATCAGGCTTATAATGTTTCCACAGCAATTCTCAATAATCTTAGGTACGTAGAATAACATATCTAGGGAATAGGAGATAGCAAACGAGGACAAAACACTAGTTCTAGATTACAGAAACAAAAATGACAATTTTAAATGGAGTTTTTTT